CCAGGACTGCACACAGTATGCAACACTGCTGCTGAGCACTGAGCTGATGTTTTCGTACAACTACTACAGCCCAAGATGTCATTCCTGAGTGATAGTAGTCAGCTTAGAGCCCACTACTGTGCATGTAAACTTGGGATTGTCTTTTCCCCCTGTATATATCATCTTATATTTATCTATACTCCAGTTTCATCTGCCATTTTATCACTCAGCCACTCAATGTCACAAATTATTTCTACAGTCAGCCTTTTGCTAACTTGAATAGCTTAGTATCAGTGGCAAATTCTTTGCCTATTTGCCTCCTTTCTCAAATGCTTCTGAATATGTTGAACAGCACAGACTCCAGCCAGAAGCTTTTGATGCTCCACTGAAGAGCCTTATCCACTGTGAAAGTTGATCTTCTTTTCTCATCCTCTGCTGTATACATATCTTTCAAGAGTTACTAAACCATGCGTAGACCTTTCCTTTTAACACAATAGAGGTTATTTTTCAAGAGCACCTCCAGATACACCTTGCTGAGTGCCTCTTGGAAATCCAAGCAGGCTATATCAGCCAGATGAAGTCTACCTTGTCTACATGTATACTGCTTGCTTCAAATAACTTCAAGAGGTGTGAGACGTAACTGTCCTTTACAAAAGTGTGGTGACCTTTTGTTAATGTCTTGCATTTATTCCTTCACCTGGTGCACTCTAGGGTGTGTGTATGTATGTGTATACATGTGTATATATAATATAAAATATATAAAACAAATATATTGTTACAAATGTATATTGGGGACCAATATATTGTTTGTATTCTCTAATATGGTGCATTGTGTCCACTAATCTGATTCTTTGTTAGAGAATCTGTTAATATGCCTCGTATAGATATCACATTTACCATTTGGTAGTTCCTTAAATGCCCTCTGGAACGCCTGTTAAAAATTAACGTGGTTAATTACAATTGCAATTATTTCTCCTGTCTTTGCATTTCTCCTTCTGCAGTTCAGTGGACGTATATTTTCAGTCATCATGCCTCACTAAAATAGTTATAGGAAAGTTAGAGTAAAATATTTTTTACTGTAGCATCTCAACAGTTTGTGAAATGAATAATAAAGAGAGAATCTGCCATTTTTATGACAAAGGCAAAAAGGCAAATTACATCTTTTCAAATTTTTTTTTTAAAATAACAGTATGTTACAGTAGAGATTAGAATTTAGACTGCAAATAGCAAACTGTCTTTTAGCCAGACTGAGTGGATGGTGCTGGACTCTTGCAGATGGTGTAAATAGACCAAAAAAAAAAAAAGTCTGCTATAAAAAAAAAGGTGAATGATGATCCAATTGGATAAGATCTCTCCAGATAAGCTCTCTCCAGACAAGAGATCACATTGGGCTCCAGACTGAAAACATTAATTCATATTTTCCACACAAAGACTGCTCAATATAAAATACTGAAACAATACTGAAATTAGGGACTAGAACTGAGAGGATAACTGAGGAAGTTTCAAGGAAGGGAAGCCTAAAGTGCAACCAGGTTAGATAAGGGCTAGAATGGATAAATGGCTAAAATGGATAGAGTGATATTTATCGTTATTGGTTATGTGATTTGAAAAGACTGTGGAAAAGGTGAAAATTTTTATTCCAGGTGCCTGATGCCAGAACCACAAGCAAGAGCAGTAAAACATACTGTTCAAAGACAGAGTAGAAACAGGAAATACTGAATGCCAGGGGATGGAAAGTTATAAGCACTCATAAAAGATGGGACTGTTTAAAATAAGGCCTAACTCTCTCAGTCACAGAAAAACAAATTAGAGTGAAATAAATTTTCCAAGTAACAGATTTCTATTGAGACTGTGTGGAGACTTCTACACTGGATACCAGTAGTTCTACAAGCTTTTCTTACTAATGTACGTCAGTGACATGCAAGAATACAAGCATGTTGGACTAAACCTGAAAATACTGTTAGTTAATCTATAGAATCATATTGATGGATTTTTATTATATACCAGTTGACACAGTGTGTAAACTGCTTAGAGTGCTTTATTTTGTTAGAGCATAAAGAAATAGATTACAAATGCTCTTACGTGGATTGCGCCTGGTATTTAAGTTAAGATGTTATCAAGAAATCAACGGTTTTATTGTGATACGAAGTAAGATCAACTAAAAAAAAGATTTTCATAGAAGAAGTATAATTAGTTTTAATCCGTGCATATAGTAATGAAGACCTATCTTGATTTATAAAAACACAAATAGAGATAACGGTCAACTATAATTCAAAGAACGGTGTACCCATAAATAGAAAATACACAGAAGCCCTAACAAAATGAGATGTTAACTATAGACATCTTTAAGCTCTAAATTGGCTTTCTCAGTCTGCTTACACACAAAGCTCACTGTGACCTATTTTTCTTTTCTCTGTCTTCTGCCTCTTATAGCACAACTACTTTTCAGGATCATTTCTGATTAGGGAGTGGTAGGTTTATGTACTTCATCAAGCATGACTTGAAAAAGTTCCCTCATCAGCTAAAGAGAGAGAATTTTTCCAGTAAATACGGAAGCTGAAGTCTGTGGTTTTTGAAACACCTGGCCTTTCAGTTTGAAAACCTTCTAGCTCCTTTTGCTGGTGAAGACAAAGCCCAACATATACTAGCCATCTTTTTAAAAAGCTGTGCAGGGCATGCCTCCCAGTGAGAGTTGGAAGGAACCAAACAGTGTTTCTCTGGAGCATATCCCGATGCATGTCATGAGGTGAGGGGCAGGTGTGCTATCGCGGGCTGTGTGACACAGCACAGCACAGGCAGTCAGATCTCTGTAGAGCAGCAGACGCCTCGGTTCACTCGCCCGCTTCCCAGCTATAAGGAACGCACGAGAGCTGCAGAGAGAAAAATCTGGGTCTGCACAGAAACCACAGACCTCAGTAACTACAAATTCAGTGACTGCCCTGACAAACTGGGATGACGGGCCTGTCCCAAGCGTGAAGGACCGTTTCCAGATGGCTCCTACTGCTTCACGCAGACCCCAGGGGTGACATTTCCGTGCCTGGAGCGAGGCTTGCCACCTCCCTCGCCCTTCTCCTGCCTGAGACTCGTTCCCCGCTGTGGCAGCCCTCCTGCCCGGCTGCGTGCAGCTGCCAGCGGGGCTCAGCACCTGTTGCAGCAGCTAGCCCAGGCCCCGTTCACAAGGAGGGCGCCTTCCCTGCGCCCGCTGAGACACCCAGCAGCTTGCTCGGAGCCAGGAAGCCCCCAGAAACCGACTTCAGCCTTTCCCTGCCAGTCCGATTTCCATCAGGGAAACACTGAGGCGTTTCTCACTGGCAAATAGCACGGGCATCCACCTGCATGTATCCCTGGTACACAATTATATCCCTATATAAAATCGCATATATAGGTATTTAAAAATATATCTATAGCTAAACAAAATTTTAAATATGCACACATACATTTTAAATATGCACATATATTTAAAATATGTATATATTTTATATATATGTATATTTTAAATATTGCACAGATATTTTAAATATGTATAAATGCATATACCACGCGTACAATAAACGTATAGCATATGCACATATATATGCCCATATACAGGTGAGCGCATCTCTAAGAAA